CCTGTGCTGGGCACACGGCCTCACAGAGCTTGCAGGCGATGCAGCGCTCCTCCCCGGACGGGTACCGGCGCAGCGCGTGCTCCCCGCGGAACCGCGGGCTCAGCGGGCCCTTCTCAAATGGGTAATTGATGGTGGCCGGCTCACGGAAAAGGTAGCTCAAGGTCATGGCCAGGCCTGTGAGGGAGAAGGTGGGGTTAGGACATATTTGGGAAGGGGGAATCACCCCACAAATAAGGAGGGTAAGCGAGGTCTCACCTCGGATGAGCTCGGTCCAGAGCAGGGTCTGGGCGGCACGGTCAGTGATGGATCGCATGTCCATGGCCGGCTCCTGGATGTTGACATACTCTGTGGGAAGAGAGGAGCTGTGCCCACCCTGCAGAGCCCTGGGGTGGGAGCTGAGCCCCCACAGGGGGTGGCACGGCCGTACTCACTGTAACAGTCCCTGGGGGTGCTGGTGCTGAGCGGGCGCAGGGAGCCCAGTGGGGCCGGGGGGCCTGGGGAGGGACAGGAGGGTCAGCAGGGTCAAGATGGGGTCTGGGGGATTCAGGGGGTTTGGGGATTCCCGGGCAGCCTCACCTGCACGGACAGCCCGGTACAGCAGTCGCAGCGCTGCCATGGCCGGTCCTGGGGCGCAGAGGGAATCTCAGCATCTACCAGTAAGGGACTGGGGCAGCCAGAGGCCCCCCACTTCCCATGGGGGACACCGGCACCCTGATCCCCATCCCCTCACCCAGAAGAGACGTGGACCCCCGGGCACCCCTGTCCCAACACCCCACAAGGGACCCCAAATGCTTCCCTCTCGGGACCCAGGCATCCTGTTTCCTCTGCCAACCCCTCTCAAGGCTCCCAGGCATCCTGTCTCTCCTTGCAGCCCTCTCTTAAGGCACCCAAGCATATCCCCCAAGAGAGCCAGGAACCTTGCCCACCCCCTAAAAGGGGGCCAGCTGTTCCCCCAAAGACCCGAGCATCCTGCTCCCCCACCCCCAGGGGCACCCAGGTGTCCCGTCCCCTCCCACCCCTAAGAACCCAGGGGCCCTGTTGTCCTGCCCCCTCCAAGGGACCCACGTATCCTCCCATCCCAGTCCCCAAT